GTTTAAAATTAATTCTAAAAAGATATTAGTACTAACAAGAATGGTAGAACCTAATTGTCCTTTTTGAGTAAGTTTTTGAATTGATGATTCTGGTTTATTATCGGTTTCTTCTTCACTAAAAAATAAAAAATATTACATATTAAAATATACTTCAATTTGAAAATAACAAATTATTATAAATAAAAAAGCAAACCTTGTAAAGTCAGATTCATCCTCTATTTGAGTTCTTGGTCTATAAATGGTTTCTAATGACCGACGTAAACATTTTTTTAATTACTTTCAACTCATTTTTTATTTTAGACACCTGGTTTTGTGATTCTATTAATTTGACATCTAAAGCTTGTATTGTCTCATTTGATCCCTGCCATCCGTCAGCTACAATAGGTAATCCCTCTCTAATAATTTCTTTATTATGAGGATCTTTAAAATATAAATTCTCTCGCAACTCTTTAGCTTTTTATTTTGCTTGTTTAAGAACATTATTACGTTGACATTTAGCAGAAAAGAATGTTCTTTCTAATTGAAAGAAGTTTGAAATATGTTGTGAAACAAATCCTCTAAGCTATTCTACATTTTCTTTGCAAGTTAACCCTAATAAAAATGGTACTGATATTGTTCTGAAGTATTTGATATGTGGTGTATTTGTAATATGTAATCGTAAACTAATTAGATTATCATGCGTTACATACTATTGTTGTACATTTGTAAAAGTAAAATCATTTGCAAAATTGTTCCATCTATATAAAATGGTATTTTCTTTATCACACCATTCTAAATTTAATCTAAAATATGTTTCTACCAATTTTGTATAAACGCAATAACCAGAAATCAAAGGTACAAAAACTTTATTATTAAAGTTATTATCTATCCCAGCTAATTTAAGTAGTAAATAAACATCATTTGCATTATTCATATTAGTTTTGTTAAGAAGAGTTGAATGTTGCGGTAGAATTCGTAAAAAACTAGTATCCTCTTGAATAAAATGGTCCGTCCAGATCTAGAATACTTGCGACATTCATCATTAGCTTCTAGAAGATATTTGGTCCATTTATTATCACTCTATTATAGAATAATATATAATTGTTAGAAATCTAAAAATAGAACATAGCATATCCGCATAAAAAGCAAAATTGCATATAGTAACCTTCAAAAATATAGCCTTACCATTATACCAAGGTCTAAGTAAAGATGTAAAGTGTTAAGCCAAGCTGTTTATTTCTGAGTTTGGCAGAATATAAACACAAACTGAAAAAGTTAGACAAGGTAATGAGCACTTTAAGGGTACAATGAGCACCTTGTAGTTAAACTTCTTGTTTATTAAAAACTTCGTAAAAAATAAGTAAAAACTGAAATATATAAATTCTAGAGAAAACAATGGCTTATTTGAAAGAAAAAAAATTTTTTTTTAATAAAATTAATTCATTGGTTATTAACTTAGCCTTATCACACTTTTTTCAATCGTATAATATTAGCTTAGGCCATGATCGGCATATATGTAACATATGTGTAACCATTGATCAAAAGACCCTACCCTTAAATTGGACCCTGATTATAATATGTCAAAAGATGAGAAAATTGAACACTTTTTATAGAGGCTTCACCCAGAATTTCATATTGCTATTGCTACTGCTGCACCCTAGACTTGAAAGAAGAAATTTATTGAGCATGCACTATTAAAACAATATTATCTAAGGATAGTATGCTTTCTGGGTATTCTTTAAGTAAGCATATTTAAACTAAAAGGATAATAATGCTGTTGAAGATTCTACTGCTACTCCTGACATTCAACAACTTATTGATCAAAATAATGACAAGTTGATAAAAGAATTTAAGCAATTATTAACTACCTTGAATACTACATCACATTCTCAAAATACTAGCTCATATCTAGTCAATACAAATAATAACTGAAAAACTAATAATAATAACAATAGTAATCAAAACAACTAAAGCTGTTATAATTATGGATGATCTGGATATCATTAGGGATTGTAGGTAAAGAAACAATCTAAGAAGTCAGAATAATAATGGAAATAATTGACATAATTCAAACAATAGATCTAATACAAGGATTACTTGTCATAGTTATCACCAAAAGAGACATATTACCAGAAACTGTAATAATCTACCAAGAGGACTTTGCCTACACTATAGACAATTTAGACATTAAAGATATGTATGCTCAAATAGAAATGTGAATAATCCTGTTGAAAATACTAGAGGAAATGTTAATATGCCAACTGACTTTAGTATCAGATAACCTGCTGCATTATCTCAAACTATACCAATGTATAACACAGACTTTACTCTATTGCCATAAACCTTTATGACCTTCCCTATTTCAAACCCACCATCAGCAAACATCCAAAATATGTTTGCCTCTTCGTTCTAGTCTTTAAACTATTGACGGTATCTCAGAAAGATGAATGTACCAATGAAAGAATAAACCCCTCAGAATTACTAAGAGCGGTAGAAACAATTTACTGTAATGCTACCATTAACAATAAACCAATATATTTAATTTTAGATTCAGAATCAGCTAGAAGTGTAATATCTAAGTTCTTTTTGCAACAATTAGGACAAAAAATCAATCAGCTTCTACTATCATAATGATTAATATACAAGGAAGATGATCATGATCTTTAAAATGAGTTACTAATATTCTCTTACAAATAAATAGTATAGAGGTTCTCATTAATATTAATATCACAGAATCAACTGACTACTATATAATAGTAAGAAATGATTGGCTTACCAAATGTCAAGGACAACTTTATTAGAACTATCAAAAATTTACATTTATCTGGAATAATAAGGAATACCAGATACCTATGACCTGTTAGAAGAAACTACAGTTTGATTACTTTCAACAACCTGTTAACATTATCAAAAGCCTATCTAATGAAGAATACAAAGATGAGAAATTAATAGTTCAATGACATTATATGGTATTAGAGAATCATAATAATCCTATCTCTTTAGCTGAAAGTAATCCAAAACAAATTTCAGACAGAAGTATTCCTCCTAGTACTTTGAAAATTTAAACCAAAAATTTAATATCCAACCATCTAAAGATGTTAAATAGAAATATCATTGGCAAGGACTGAAAAATCAATGTTGATGTTATAACAGATTAGACAAAATTGAATATAATTGTTAACTTTGTAAGAAGAAATGGGATCATTGGCAACTACTACGAAATATTTCAGACGAACTACCACCTTGCAAAAAGACCTATAAACATCTTAATAGATCTCAACAACAGCAAATTACTTAATTTTTACGTAAAAATAGTGATGCATTTACTGAGGATTTATCATAATTAGGATATACAACAATTGAGAAATATCACATACTAGTAGAAAATCTGATACCTATACCACAATGTGCATATATAGTAGCTTCTTTAGAACAAGAATTTATCAAAGATGAAGTTGCTAAGATGCTGAAACACAACCTGATACAACTATCTGAAAGTCCTTAAGCCTCACCTGTTATTCTCGTTTGAAAGAAAAATGAAAAACTTCAGTTTTATATTGACTATAGGAAACTTAATAGCGTTACTCAACGATATGGATATCTCTTATCACATATTAATGAATTGCTCGACATGTTTAGAAAAGCTAAATATTTTTTAATGTTAGACTTGGCTAGCAGATATTGGCAGATCATCATGGATTTAAATGATCAAGCCAAAACAGCTTTCATAACTAGTTAAGGACTTTATGAATTTAAAGTAATGCCATTTGGATTAATAAATGCTCTTGTAACTTTCCAACGTTTAATGAATAAGATTTTTAGAGAAGAGATCAGACAGTTCATAGCTATATATCTTGATGATATCATCATCTTTTCAGATACCTTTAACACACATTTGCAATATTTAGAGTTTATTTTTAAACGATTGAAGAATGTTAGACTCAAACTTGAAAAGGATAAATGTAAATTTACTAAATTGGAATTAGCATTTTTGAAACATATCGTAAGTAAATAAGGAATCTCACCAGACCTCTTTAAAATAGATAAAATTAAAAATTTTCTAATCCCAAAGAATATTACTGAGTTATGAGGATTTCTAGGACTAGCATCATATTATAGGAGATTTATTTAAGACTTCTCAACATCAGCTACACTATTGCATTTATTATTATGAAAAGATATATCTTATATTTAGACAGAACTACATTAAAAGACTTTTGAGTATTTAAAAACATGTTTAATAACTGCACCAGTCTTGAATTATCCTGATTTTAAATGATAGTTTTTACTCTTTACCGATAGTTTGTATATAGACCTTGACGCAGTATTAGCACAATTAGATGATAATAATAAGAAACATATTATAGCTTATACCAGTCAGAGTATAAGCCATGCTGAGCGAAATTATGCTCTAACTGAATTGGAATGTCTTGCCACTATATAGGGAATGGAACATTTCTGATCTTATTTGTTACATCAACAATTTGAACTAATTACTGACCACATAACCTTTATAATAGCTTTTTAATAAACTTGATCCTCCTCGTAAGTTTATGAGATGAATTATTCGTATTATGGAATTTTCATATTAAATTCAATACAAAAAAGAAAAATTACATTCAAACGCTGACGTATTATTCTGATTTCTTCCACAATAGCTTATAATAATCATAACAAAAATCTGAGAGTAAAAGTGTAAGTATTAGCAGTGTAACTAACAGCTCTACAACATGAAACTTAAAACCTATCACTAATTATACCAATACCTTACTCAACTCACATACCCCCAAACCTCACCCCTTCACAACAACATACAATTCAAAAGCAAGCTCAATATTATTTTATACAAAACTAATAACTTTATAGACGTAATTATAAGTATTCAACTTAATTATTGCTTGTAATTAAAACTAATGAAGTTAAAAGTATTCTATATAATATTCATAATAAACCTTTAGGAAGACATTTAGCACATGACATTACTTACAACAAAATTGCTTCTCAATATTATTAACCTAGTATGTATAAAATGATTGATAATTGAATATGAACATGTGATGTATGTCAATAATAAGGAAGACCAAAACCCAAAGAATCATTGCACCCTATATCTGTTAGACAACTATTTAATTGTATTGGAATAGATTATGTAAGACTACTTTCACATACGATAAAAGGGAATAGGTATATTATTGTAGCAACTGAATATCTGACAAAATGGGTTGAAGTTAGTATTACATCAGATTATACCGTTCAAACTACTGCATAGTTTATTTATAATGAAATCATATGTCAACACAGAATGCTAAAAGAAATATTAACTGACTGAGCAATGTTATTCTAAAATGAATTAGTCACTGTTTTGTTACTTGTAGTAAAAACTAAATATAGATTATCTTCACTGTATCACTCTCAGACTAATGGCCTTACTGAATGCTTTAATAAAACTTTGTATACAATTCTAGCCAAGTATGCTGAATAATATCATAGAAAATGAGATACTTATTTGACATCAGCATTATTTGCATATCGAACCGCTCAGCAAGAAACAATTAAATTTGAACCTTTTGAATTATTATATAGACAAAAAGCAGTTTTACTCATAGATTTACAACT